TGTGGGTCGGTTGGTTAAGTATTATTCATTATCGTCGCATAATTATTATTATTTGGCGGTACTGAATTATCGATTATCATACTAGTATTATCAATTATACTATGTCATTTTTATGATTATTCTATAGCGCCGAGCGTCGCTTTATTTACTATTATTATATATTCCATGATTTATAATTTATTGTTTATTAATTGTGTTACGTCTTTTGCGTTAATTCATTATATTTGTCAACGCTACTATTAAGAATTGTTCTTGCCGTTATTTTATTTTTAACCTGAATATATTATATAAACAAACGAAATCAACTCCCCTGCCATTGCCTAGGGTTTGGTTCGTTACATTTGGTCCTTCGAGCCGGATATATAAAAAAAAATATATAAATTAAAAAAGAGAATAGTTCGTTAAGAAAGAAATTACCTAATTTTATTATTTCCTTTACCAATATTATTATTATTATAATAACTACCGCAATCGATTATTATCAAACGTTGGAGACATCGTTCGCGGACTATCGTAATTACCACGGTGATAATTATTGTCAAAATAGTATTATTAATGTTTGTGGGTCTACGTCATGCATATCAATTAAGATTGTTGTTAATTATAATCTTGTTTCACGGTCAACGACCTGGGCACAAATTGTGTGTGATAATATTATTATAATATTATTAGTGTTACGGAAAGGCATATTCACGTAATCACACAAGTTCGTTTTTATTATAATAAACACGTAAACACGTAATTTGCTTTCAATACGTAAATAATATCGATATACCACAATGCAGGCCAATTCTGATTCCGATCGTATAGAACGTTTTTTGAAGCGTTGTGTTGTAAAACGGGGTGATGCTATGACACAAATGAAGACTTTGTACGAACTTGCGCTTACTGTGGAATCAAATCCCGACGTAGCTCCTATATTTTGTGCGCGAAAACGAGATATAGAAACACTCGTCACAGAATTCAACGTTGAACACAACAGTGTTTTGGACAATCTCCTCTTACTGTCACGCGAGGACGAATTTACTGATTCTCATCTGTCGTTCAAAACAAAATTCATGGAACAATACTACTATATCATTGCGTTAGGTACGAGACTACAATTAGATCCGCGACCCCCAGTTATGGAACCACCGAAAAGCAATGTTAAGCATCTTACACTACCAACAATTAAATTGCCCATGTTTGACGGCGATCTTTTAAAGTGGCGTACATATCGGGACACATTTACATCGTTAGTTCATAACAATCCGGATGTGTCAAAAATTGAGAAATTCCACCATTTACTATCGTCCACTACGGGCACTGCTGGTGGTGTGCTGCGTTCGCTGTCATTAACAGAAGACAATTATGACATTGTGTGGGACAATCTGCACACTATATACGACAATAAACGCGTACTTGTGACCGCACACTTAGATGCAATTTTTCATTTTGCGCCACTAGTCAAAGAGTCGTTGTCAAGTTTGAAGTCTTTCCTGTCCACCTTTCAAGAAAACGTCGCGGCAATTAAGGCACTTGACGTTGAAGACCTGGAAGGATTGTTACTATTCTACATCGCATCAAGAGCATTAGATCCATGTACTCGGCGACTGTTTGAGTCCGAATACCACTATGTCGATACTCCAACACTCAATTTATTGTTAGAGTTCGTTCAAATTCGATGTCAGGTACTTCAGAATATTAACGCCCATCCCATAAAACCATCACCATATAAGAGTGGAACCTCAAAATCATTATTATTCGCTTCTTCCAGTACAGGCGCAAAATTGTGCAAGCTTTGTCAAGATACTCATTTACTGCATCAATGTTCGAAGTTTGCTCAGTACAGTGTTCAACAACGGTTTGACTTCGCCAAAAGTAAGCGACTGTGTATGAATTGTCTCAGTCCCACACATAAAACTTCTGAATGCTCGTCCAAACACTCTTGCCGTGATTGTTCTGGAAAACATCATTCATTACTTCACCTCAATCAGCGTCCCAAGAAGACATCGGCATTGACATCTACCTCTGTTGCTCCCGAACCAGCGTCTACAGTTATCACAGCACCGGGGACGTCAACTTCTATAGGGGTTGAAAGACCGTTTGTCGGAACATTCCAATCAAGTGGAAATGTTATTCTTGGAACAGCCATAATCCATGTCTGCAACAACATCGGTGAGTGGACTCCAGTTCGTGCGTTGCTCGATACCGGGTCTCAGATCTCCGTCATCACTCATGCGTGTGCGTCTCGATTGGGCCTAAGACGTCGACATTGTAGTACCTCAGTCATGGGGTTATCACAAGCACATGTACCAGCTACAAAGGGATCTACTCATCTGACGTTCAAACCCAGACACGCAAATAATCCACAAATATCGTGCGACCCATTAATTCTATCAAAAATAACGGGTCCGATGCCCGCATCTCAGTTAAGTCGAGATATTCGAGACACATATAACCATGTTGAGCTGGCAGACCCTGAATTTGATAATCCAGCACCAATTGAGTTTTTACTCGGCGCAGATGTCTACGCCAATATTTTAGGTGATTGTGTGAGAGTACTACATGCCCACGGATTCCCTTCGGCGTTTGAAACCAGTCTTGGATGGGTAATAATCGGACACACAACTGCCCCGGATCCGTCTCCATGCGTGTCACTACTATTATCTACTCAACCGTCACTCGATCACTTAATGCATCAGTTTTGGTCGATAGAAGAGCCATCACCACCTGTTCAGCCTTTCACAGACGACCAAAAATGTGAAGTGCTCTTCACCCAGACAACGAGCAGGGATGACCAAGGTCGATTCTCGTTAGCGTTACCTTTCAAAAGTAGTCCATCCATCCTCGGCGACTCGTACAAAATGGCGACCTCTCGTTTCTATAATTTGGAGCACAAATTACAACGAGACCCAGACTTGTATGCCCAGTATCGCGATTTTATGAAAGAGTATGAAGCCTTGGGCCATATGGTCATTTCAAAACAGCCAGGGAAATATTACATTCCACACCATGCAGTGGTAAAGCGCAACGGTATAAACACTAAACTGCGCGTGGTGTTCGACGCATCTGCTGCATCCACGTCAAATTATTCTCTCAACGACCTACTATATACTGGTCCTAAACTCCAAAATGACATTGCGCAGATACTCCACCGGTGTCGGTTGAAGCGCTACATGGTCACGGCAGACATCTGCAAGATGTACCGCCAGATTCGAATACACCTTGATGACCGCACTTACCAGCACATTGTATGGCGAAATTGTCCATCAGACGAACTCCAAGACTACGAATTGACCACAGTTACCTACGGAGTATCCGCTTCACCTTATCAGGCTATTCGAGTCCTCCACCAATTGGAACGTGAAGACGGCCACAAATTCCCATCAGCTCAAAATATATTGTCAACACAAACATATGTCGACGACATTGTGTCAGGCGATGACACGATTTCTGCGCTACTGCAACGGCAAGCGGACCTCGTCCAACTCTTGATGCAAGCAGGATTCGAGTTGAAGAAATGGTCGTCAAATAGTCGTGAAATCCTACGCCAGATTCCACAAGGAGACCACGCGGTTCAATCGTCGTTTGATCCCAAAGACGATATGTCCATAAAAATATTGGGACTCCATTGGGATCCAGTAACCGATACATTTAGTTACCATACGTCATCAATGCCAGTAACTATGACAAAGCGGGTGGTTTTGTCCACCATAGCAAAATTGTACGACCCGGTGGGTGCTCTAGCCCCAATCATCTTTTGGGCAAAGTCCTTTATGCAAACCATTTGGCAGTCTGGTTTAAATTGGGATGATCCGCTGCCCCCGTCGTTGATGACGTCTTGGGGAAAATTTGCATCTGAGCTACATCTTGTTCGTGAAATTAAGCTACCTCGACACATAGCGGTTTCGCCTAACTGTGTGACGCAGTTGCTCGGATTCTGTGATGCATCTGAGAGAGGATACGCAGCAGTGGTGTATCTTCGCACGATTGATGTCAACGGCCAGATAAAGCTATACTTTATCACATCAAAATCCAAGGTAGCACCACTTAAACTGGGGAAGCTTGATCACTCACTGACAATACCACGTCTCGAGCTATGCGGTGCTCTCCTGTTAGCTCAGACGATACAGCGGCTCTGTGAAACGTTTGAAAATTATATTTCTATTTCAGCGGTTTACACTTGGACTGATTCCCAAGTAGTTTTGTCTTGGTTGACGTCAACTCCATCACAATTCAAGATTTTCGTGACGAACCGCCTAGCCAAAATAAGTTCGTTGATGCCTCCATGTCGCTGGCGATACATACCATCCGCACTGAATCCTGCCGATTGTGTATCTCGGGGACTCTTTCCGTCGGAAACCGTCAATCATTCCCTCTACTGGCACGGTCCTCCTTTCGTTTGTCTAGTCGAATCGGAATGGCCAACTGAAACTTATGAGTTAATACCTCCAGCAGGATTACCAGACTATAAACCATTAGATGCAGTGATATGCAATGTGACGTCACTTCAATCCCCTGCATGGTACCTTCGCTTTTCGTCACTGACACGGATGCAACGCGTCACTGCGTACGTTCAACGGTTTATAACAATAATCAAGCATCTACCCACTTCAGTTGGCCCACTACAACGCTCAGAGTTAGAGCAGGCTCTGGTCCCAATAATTATCGACACTCAACGTACATGCCTCGCTGCTTTAGTATCACAATTGAATGTTGACGATCCAAAAATTTCCCCACGTTCAATGGCACAATTGGCACCATTCATCGATCAAACAGGTATCATTCGTGTGGGAGGGCGACTTACACACGCTCGCTCCAGAATGGTTGCCCAATGCCCGATTCTATTACCAAAAGTGTCACATTTTACAACGTTGGTCATACGGCATTACCATCTCACATATCTGCACGCCGGTCCACAACTAATCGCATCACTATTAGCACGTACCTATTGGGTGATATCGGGAAGATCAGCCATCAGACAACTAGTGTTCAAATGTACAGTGTGTGCACGTCATAAACCACGAATTCCGCAACCATTCATGGCGGACTTGCCTCCACAACGAGTTCGTCAATCACGTCCATTTTCCCACGTCGGCGTCGACTTTGCAGGACCGCTGTTAATCAAGGATGGACGCCGGAGAAATTCACCCTCTGCAAAATGCTACTTAGCGGTCTTCATCTGTATGTCCATCAAGGCCATCCACGTAGAAGTCGTGTCAGATTTATCTACCAACTCTTTTATTGCCTCCTTACATCGATTTGTGTCTCGACGAGGGGTACCGTCTGATATATACTCAGATTGCGGGACTAACTTCATTGGAGCGGACAAGGAGCTACGGAAACTCTTCAGGACGTCGGCAGCTCAACATTCCGTCAGTGATGCCATTCCGTGCCGCTGGCATTTCAATCCCCCGGCCGCACCCCATTTCGGTGGGTTATGGGAGGCGGCCGTCAAATCCGTCAAGTTTCATCTTAAAAGAGTAGTTGGCACCCAAATCTTAACCTTCGAAGAATTAACAACCTTAGCAAGTAGGATTGAAGCTGTGTTGAACTCTCGTCCGTTAACTGCCATGTCGTCTGATCCACACGATTTACGAGCACTGACACCCGGAGACTTCCTCATCGGTCAGCCATTAACCGCCATTCCTGAACCCGACCAAACTCATATCGCCCAGAATCGGATGAATCGTTGGGAACTTCTCCGACAAATATACCAATCCTTTTGGACACGGTGGGCCTCCGAGTATTTGACAACCCTACAGGGCCGTTCCAAGTGGGTTCAGCACCAACCTAACGTAAAGGTCGGAGACCTTGTATTAGTACAAACACCAAATCAGCCCCCATTGTTCTGGAAACTTGGTCGAATCGAAAACACGCATCCCGGACAGGACGGTGTCGTTCGTGTGGCAACAGTTCGAACAAGTGATGGTAGTATGAAACGTCCAGTAGTAAAGCTGGCAGTGCTGCCTATGGAAGAATCTTCAACATCTTCAACATAATTTATCCTTGTCTTCCTACACTTCCCTTTCTTAAACTCAAATTGAAATTGCCAAATGTAGCGACCATGCTCTGAAGGGGAGTATAGGATATTTTTAAAAAAAAAAATAATGTAATCACATGACCGAGCAAACCAACTTCATGATTGAAACTAAACTCTTGGGTAGTCTCGTCCAGTCGACAATCAACGTTGAAAGGACCCCAGGTCTTCCAAGGGGGGAGTAATGTTGGATGCAAATACGCCGGTGTACCTATCAACGGTCCACAGGTCACGGTGTACTTCGTTCAGTTACGTATTGTTATCGATAATTCAATTACGCAATAATAATAAATAATAAATTATGCGCTACAGGTGCATAATGAATAATATAATAATAATGATTTATAATGGACAAGTAGTCAAAAACAATAAATGGTATAACCTATTCACATGACCCGGGACACATGTTGGCGATGAGTACTTCCAAGTAAATGGTTTGAATGAAGTGAAGATGGCTGCTGGCTGGCTTGGTAGGAACGGTCGACGACGTCGACATTCGAACTACCCATGAAATCTTGACTACGACAGTCGCACAGTAGAATACCTGTGAGACTACATACATCGATCGACCAGCTAACGTGATGGTGCCGGATCCAACGTAAATTACGGCGAACACAATTCCGACGGAACAAAGTATATATACGTACAACAATATTCATGTGTGTTTATCGACACGTATAACACCAACACTGACGATCGACATACACCGTCGTCGGCGTAACACTAGGGCGGCGGGCGACGCGCAAATTATCCAGTGAACCGGTCGGCTGTAATATATTCAGCATAGGTCTAAAA